TCCTTGCATTGAAGCCTCTGGCGTGTGACGGGTGTGCGTTTTCGCGTCTTTGGTGTAGCTTCCTGCTGCGTGTGGAGCCGGGCCTGCACCTCCCAGCGGGCCTGCGCCGTCGCTCAGCGAGCCTTGTGCCCCTGTGAGCGGGTCCGCAGGGCAGCAGGGATCCCGGGGCGCAGGCACGGGGAGCCTGAGCGTCTGGAGCCGTCCGCTTTCCATCTGCTGACTCGCTGTTCTCATCTCTGTGCCAGCGCGGACAGCGCGCCCTGAAACCTCCCGTGCTAAGGCGTGTGAGAGGCAGGGGGTGGGGGGTTAGCTTTCAGACCGTCCTGGACTGCGGACAGAAGGAAGTTCGTCAGCCATCGGTCAGTGTGGGGTTGGCTGTCAGCAGAGCCATACAATCACTTTTCCTCTTTTCCTCTCTGTTCTTCCAGAATGTGTACACGGAATGAATCCATCTAGAGACCTTCTCGGTATGTTAGATTCCCCATAATACTTTTATAAAGTATGCATCCATATATATATATATATATATATATATATATGGATGCATATGTGTGATTTTTTTTGTCTATGTGGCCTATGATGCATGACATAAATTAGGGCCAAATAATTAGGGCCTTTGTTTTGCTGATTCAAAAGTACTTATATGCTTCTCTCTGCATTGTAAACGCCAAGCCCAGTAAAACCCCGTGAAGCTCAGTGGCACCCTCAGCCAGCAGCTCTGCCCGCGGGCGTGTTCCCGGGCACCTGACTGTGTGGCTGCGGCTCTGGAGAGGGAGTTCCCGCCTTTGTGATGGGAGCGGCCATGCACGGCTTCTACGGGGCGGAGCGTGTACTGAGCTCCCGCACTCAGAATGTCCTCAGGCCTCCACTGTGAGCCGCACCAGGAGGCATGGCGTTCAAGGAAACAGTCACAGGTCCACAGGGCACCCCCGGAGACAGGCCTGGCGGGGGAGGGGGGGGGGCAGCGGGAGGACGAAGGAATTCGGTTCCAGAAGGGAACACCCTTCCACAGCCCCTTCCCCGGGCGCGGGTGCCCAGCGCAGCGATGGGGCCGGAACCGCCAGCAGCAAGCAGGTCCTCTGGTTTTCGTTCCCCTCACGCGGTGCTGAGAATAGAAGCAGCTCCGTCAGGAACATCCGTTTTCAGAAACGTAATTTTAGGAAGGTTCTGCTCACCGGGGGGATTTTGTGTTTAAGAGAATGCTTCAGATTCTTCTGATCTCAGCTTTCTGCATATTTTATTATTGACCGGGTTTTGCAAAGGAAAAAAAAAGTAGGATATTTAGGTGTTTTCTGAGCCCACCTACAGTGACATGTTTACCTAATGCTGCAGGAGAACAAACAAACGGCCCTGTTCTCCAGGGAAATGGCTATTTTTCCTTCCAGCTCACTAAACCCCACGTTTAAAGCTCGCTGGGAAAACTGGCATTCCGCTGCAATCAGGAGCCTTTTTGAAATTTCCGCCAGGGAGGCGATCTGGGGAAAGCCTGGCACACCGCATCAGCCCAGCAGCACTTTGTTCTGCTTCCCTCTGAGGCCAAGGGGAGAGGGGCACCCCAGGGGGCACGGGCGGACTGGGCACACGCCCCTCCCTTCTCCCCAGAGGTGAGGTCAGTCTGTCTCTGCTGACAGGAGCCTCCTGGAGGAAGGAGTGCATTCCTCCTGGACCTCACAGCCCTGAGGGCGCGGGTCCCCCTGGCACAGATCTCACAGCCCTGAGGGCGCGGGTCCCCCTGGCACAGATCTCACAGCCCTGAGGGCGCGGGTCCCCCTGGCACAGATCTCACAGCCCTGAGGGTGTGGGTCCCCCGGCACAGATCTCACAGCCCTGAGGGCGCGGGTCCCCCAGCACAGATCTCACAGCCCTGAGGGCGCGGGTCCCCCTGGCACAGATCTCACAGCCTTGAGGGTGTGGGTCCCCCGGCACAGATCTCACAGCCCTGAGGGCTCGGGTCCCCTGGCACAGATCTCACAGCCCTGAGGGCGTGGGTCCCCCTGCTCTGAGGGGTTGGGGTCCCCCTGGCACAGACTGTACAGCTCTGGGGGTGCGGGTCCCCCTTCGCTCAGTCCCCTGCTATTGCTTTCGGCTCACTGGGCGCCTCGCTGAGGAAGGCGTGGGGTGGGGGGGGGGGGGGAGATGGGGGAGTAGGGGGGGTGTTGCAGGTGTGGGAACCCCAAGCGCAGGCCGCCAGATGGGGAATGAGCCCGCAGGACTTCGCTGCCTTCACCATCCTCCTGGGGGAACTCGGGGCGCCAGTCGGAGGCTCCGCTGAGGAGCATCTGTGGCTGAACCCGCACCGGGCTGAGCTGCGGACCTGACTCCCGCGGGGGGCCTGGGGGGCGGGGCGGGGGAGCCTGGCTCCGAAGCCCCTGGAGGTTGAGGGTTTCCAGCCGCCCAGCCCGGGAGGAGCCCGGCCAAGCGTCTGAAGGGCGGGACCTCGATCTGAGCTCTCCCCTCCCTCTGAGCCCCACAGGCCCTGGGGAGGTGGTGGAGGCCTCAGAGCGCCAGGACAGGGGGGGAGGGGTCCTAGCGAATGCAGGCGCCGGGCAGCAAGCAGGCTTCTCGTTGCTCCAGGGCGAGCAGCGGTTGGTCGGCCGGTTGGCCCGTCGGTCGGTCTCCCCGCAGGGTCCGGGCGCCGCACTCTGGTGACCACGCAGAGTTTGGCATCACTGGGCCCAGGAAGAGGGGGCGTTGGGGAAGGGGGGCTGTCCACATGAAGGGGGGGCTTCTAACACAGTGTGTTTCCCTCTGACCCCGGCCGGTGACCCAGCAGCGCGGAGGCCGCGGTCCCCGCTTCCCGGTGGGCGGGAGGCTCCGGGGACCCCGCACAGATGCCTGGCGGGGCCGCCCGCCGAGGCCGGTGAAGGGGTTCGGGAGGAGACCCCAGCGCGGGCCAGTGGGGACCCCGCGCCCCCAGGCTCCCGGGCCATCCGCTCTGGCAGGGCAGGGGGGCGGGCGGGGCCCTCTGGCCAGCTCCCCAGGCCGTTCCCGCCGGTTCCCTCAAAACTGCGGTTCTTACAACAGAGACCCGAGGCTGAAACCGGTGTGGCTCAGTGGATAGATCGTCGGCCTGCGGACTGAAAGGTCCCGGGTTCGATTCTGGTCAGGGGCATGTACCTTGGTTGCAGGCACATCCCCAGTGGGGGGCGTGCAGGAGGCAGCTGATCGATGTCTCTCTCTCATCGATGTTTCTAACTCTCTAACCCTCTCTCTTCCTCTCTGTAAAAGAATCAATAAAATATATTTATTAAAAAAAAAAATTGATCCCAGGCCCCGAGCGAGGGCCGCTCCTGCCCCCTGGCGGCCGTGCGTCCTCCTGCGGCCCCTCCGCCGGCGCCTCCTGGTCCAGGGGCCTGGCTCCTCGGGGCCTCCCTCCGCCCTCAGCCCTGGGCAGAGCCTGGGGGAGTTTGGGCGGCCCCCCAACCGCGCCTCTGCATGGGGGGGAGGGGGGACCGGGGGTGCGGAGGGCGGGGCCGGGGCGCGGGGAGGGCCCATCTCCCGGGAGGTGAAGTTGGGGGCTCGGGACGGGTGGGGACGGGCTCCGGGTGAGCGCCCTGCCCGGAGGGGAGGGACCCCCAGGGGAGGGAGGGACCCTCGGTGTCCCGGACGCTGCCCGGGGCGGGTCCCCCAAACTCCGCACCGAGGCCCGCGGGCCGGCCCGGCGGGGAGTCCCGCCCGCAGAGCCTGGGGGAGAGGGGACGCGCCCGGGCCCGCGCGGCCCGGTTCGGGCGCCGCGGGCGGTGTGGGGTCGGGGACCCGGCCCGGGAGAGGCTCCGGCGGCTCCGCGGACGGAGCGGGCCCGCGGCGCTGCGCCTCCTCTCCCGCCGCCAGGTCTCGGGGTCTTTTCGGGGGGGACCCCCTGTGGCCGCCGCCGAGCCCCCGCGGAGCCGACCCGGGAGCGGAGCCGCAGCCGGACACGGGCCACAGGGAACACGCCCAGCACCCCCGCGTGGAGCCGGGCCGCCGGCTGCGCTGGAGAGCCCGCCCCGCTCCCGCCGCCGCCGCCCGGCCCTCTGGGCCCCCCCACCCCGGCCCCGGGGTCCAGTCCCCCCACCCCCACCGGCCCCGGCCCCGGCCCCCGCCCCCGCCCCGGGGTCCAGTCCCCCCCCCCCCCACCGGCCCCGGCCCGGCCCCGGCCCCCGCCCCGGGGTCCAGTCCCCCCACCCCCCCCGGCCCCGGCCCCGGCTCCGGCCCCCGCCCCGGGGTCCAGTCCCCCGCTCGGGGCGGTGGAGGCGCGGGCGTGGCCGCCGCTGTCTCCCAGGGGCGGGGGGCGGCTCCCTCAGGCCGGTCTCAGGCCAAGCGGCTCTGAGTCCTCCCGCCCCTGCCGGCCTCCTCTCCCTCCGTCCTCCTCTTTCTCAGTCCTCCTCCTCCTCCTCTGTCCGCCTCCGCGGTCCCGGGCCGCAGCTGCCAGCAGCGCCCCTCACCCCGGTCTCAGGCCCGCGCGCACCAGTGCGTGTGCGTGTGTGTGTGTGTGTGTGTGTGTGCACAGCCCAAGGCCGCAGTCTGCAGCGGGGCGGGGCCTCGGGGAGCGTGTGAGCCTGTGTGCGTGTGTGTGTGCGTGTGCATGTGTGTATGCGTGTCTGTGTGTATATATGTGTGTGAGTATGTGCGTGTCTGTGTGTATATATGTGTGTGAGTGTGTGTGCGCGCGTGCGTCTGTGTGTATATGTGTGTGCGGGTGTGTATATGTGCTTGCGTGTGTGAGTGCGAGTCTCTGAGTGTATGTGAGTGTGTATATATGTGTATATGTGTGTATGAGAGTGTGTGTATGTGTGTATATGTGTGAGGGTGTGTGTATATGTGTGTGTGAGAGTGTATGTGTGTGTGAGTGTGTGTGTGTGTGTGTGTGTGTGTGTGTGTGTGTGCAGGGATGCGGTGCGTGGGGAGCGGGGCGGCTGCGTACAGTAGCGCGGCGGGCGGCGGGGCGGGGCCGCTCGGAGCCGGCGGGCGGGCGGGCGGCGGGGCGGGGCGGGGCGGGGCGCCGGGCGGGGAGCGGGAGCCGCGCCCTGCGATCCGGAAAGGCCGGCGATTGGCCGCGGCCGCCCGTATGCAAACGAGCGGGGGGACCGGCAGGGCGGCCGGGCTTACAGGAACCGCGGCACTTCCAGCCTCATTCATAGCGGCCCGGACCGACCGCAGGCAGCACCGTCCCGGCTCCGGCGCCCCTCCGCGGCTCCGGGCGCCCCTCCCCGGCTGCTGGGCACCCCTCCGCGGCTCCGGGCGTCCCTCCCCGGCTCCGGGCACCCGCTCCCGGCTCCGGGCACCCATCCCCGCTCCCGGGCCCGCGAGAAGAAAGTCAGCTTCTCCGCCTGCTGCTCCTCGACCCGCGCCGGAGCTCCGATGATTATTTTCCTTCCTTTCGTTCTGACTCCTGAATGAACTGGCGCCTTGGCTGACGGTCCAACTCCTCCCGCGGCGGTGAACTCCGGCGGGGAACTCCCGTGCGCTCCTCCGGCCGCTGCGGGAGCGCGCTGTGCGGCCGGGAGGCGAGGCGGGCCGCGGAGCCGCGGTGCTCGGCAGGGCGCGCGGGGCGAGTGCGTGGGGAGTGCCCCCCGCCCCGTCTGTGTGGATCTGCGCGGCGGGCCCCTCCCCGGAGGCCGCTCCACCTGCTGCGGTTACCGGCGGCGGTGGGGCCGGCGGACCCGGGCTCCCAGGCCGGCGCTGGGGGAAGCGGGAGGAGGACCCGTTGGCGGCCGCCCGCCCGCCGGGCTGACTCACCGCGCCCGCCGGGGAGACGGTGCCGGCTCCGTGCGTGTGGCTCCGCCGCTGCTCGGCTCCCCCAAACCGCGGGGGTCAGCCACAAACTCACCCACACCCCAAACCCCAGCTCTGAGAGCTGTCACCCACGTGGACTTTTCTTTTTTTATTGTAAGATCAGCTTTTCTTGGGAAAGCTGAACCTTTGGGACTGAGCTTTCTGCCAGGACTCGCTGGGAGACCGTGACAAGTATTTCCTCCCGGCGGCCCCTCTGCGACTACTGAGGCTGATGTCCACGGCTACTTTAAAAAAAAAACCGGCAGCGGACATTGATGGACCTCTGCTGTGTTTAAATCCTCTACAGATCGCCCTGTAAATATTTTATGAAGCAGAGCCTATGTATATATATTTATACGCGCGTGTGTATTTATATGCGCATACATTAGGAGCGCGACCTTCCACCCGAAGCTCCAGCTCCGGAGCCCGTTTTGCACGGTAGAAGCGGCGATGCTCGCGGAAGACGCCCCTGTGTTTTCTGTTTTGGTTCCGCCGGGACTTTAGACAAAACTCACCTGGGAGCGCGGACAGGGGGACCCCTGGAACCTCCGAACCGCGGGCGCCGGTCCCGTTTCTCTCCGCGGACGCGTTTTAGGAGGCGTTTGGGGACTTTGCCTCCCGAAATTTTTGTGACGGCCACAGACTGAGCTTCATCCTCAGAGCGGGACCGGCCGAAGACAGCCCCCCTCGGCTTCGGGCTCTGGATTGGGGCGCCCACTCTTTATAAAGCGCTCACTCCGCGGCCGGATGCGGGGAGCCCTGCCCGGGGCCTAGACCTCCCCCTCCCTCCCTCCGGGCCGGTCAGGAGCCTAGCCCGCCCCGCCCGGCCCCCGCGGCGCCCCGGGCCGGCCTTGCATGTGGGTCTCCGGGGAGCCGCCGGCCGCCGGTCCGCGCCCCCGCCGCCGCCCCGGGCTCGGAGGAGCCGCGCGCAGGGCCCGCACTCACCCGGCCTGTTGTGATGCGTATCCCCGTAGATGCCAGCACGAGCCGCCGCTTCACGCCGCCGTCCACCGCGCTGAGCCCGGGCAAGATGAGCGAGGCGCCGCCGCTGGGCGCCCCGGACGCCGCCGGCCTGGCGGGCAAGCTGAGGAGCGGCGACCGCAGCATGGTGGAGGTGCTGGCCGACCACCCCGGCGAACTGGTGCGCACCGACAGCCCCAACTTCCTCTGCTCCGTGCTGCCCACGCACTGGCGCTGCAACAAGACGCTGCCCATCGCCTTCAAGGTACGGCCGGGCGGGTGGCGGGGGCGCGGGCGGGCGGAGGCAGGCGGCAGAGGCCGAGGCCACCGACAGGCCGGCAACCAGGCGGGCGGTCCGGCTCCCAGTCCATCCCCCGACACTGGAGCCCGGGATGCCGCGTTGCTGGGGCGACCCTCCAAGGGACCCGCCTCTGGGGAGGGCTGCAAAAATCAGGAAGCCCCCAAAGACATCCACCGCAGGGCGGTGGGACCTCCCCAACTTTATACAAAGGTCTTTAGCTCTGATACAAAGTAGCAAAAGTTAGAAACCGACTTTGATACAAAGTAGCAAAAGTCAGCCCCAGGCTTTGATACAAAGTAGCAACAGTCAGAACCCATGGCCTGGAGGAAGCTGGTTGCTCCCTCCACCTCCGCCGAACACCCGGCCGAATACCCGGCCGAACACCCAAACCCTCCTGCAGGTTTTCCACGGAGCAAGGAGGAATGGGAAGCTTTCAGACCTTCGGGTCCTTGCAGACACGCGGACAAGGAGACCTGTCAGGGCTCCCCACCCACCCTCTCTTTAACGCCCCTTGCAATTAGCATGTCCGAAGTCCACCGGGCAGTGAAGTTTGGGAAAGTTTTTGAAGTTTTGGCAAGCCTGCAGCCTGCTCTGGCAGCGGGAGCCTCAGGTAGCGAATCCTGTTCTTTTCCTGGAGCCGGCGAGCCTTATCGCGGGCTCACCTCGCCTAAGCCCAGCCCGGGGCAGCCGAGGCGCCTAATCAGCCCGCGCTCCTGCTTGCGGCCGGCGGCTCCAGCTGAGCGGCCCAGCCCAGACCCTGCCCTCGCTCCCAGCGGCTTTGAAAAGCCTTGGCCTCCGGTGGGGACGTGTAAACAGCCCGAGTTTTTAAACAACCCCTCGGCCGCCCTGGCAGCCGCCGCCAGAATTTAACTTCGGCCTTGGGGATCCTGTGCTTCTATCCCAGTGGGTCTGCGCAGGGCCGGCTTTTTAGTCTAATCACTTCCTGGTCGTTTTAAGGGCGAAGGCAGGCAGGTGAGGGGGGGAAAAAGGCTGCAAAAACCAGCCAACTCTTTAAAAAAAAATCTGATTAAATAATTGTCCCCTGTAAGGGGAGATCAGTTTACCATAAGCTTTCCATGGTCCCGGGCCCGGAGGGATCTTATCTGGTTACAGTGAAGAGTGCTCGCTCTTTTTCAAAGTGCTGTCGGGGTTCTTTCTTCTCAAGCTTTTTGCACCTTCCAGACTCCGGTTATGGTTTCCAAAGCAAAACAAACGTCCTGCGGGCTGTGCCTCCGTCCTCTGCCTCCTGGAGGAGAGGGTGTCCCGGGGGCCGGCTGGCCTCTCCCCCGGCCCCTCCCGCTATGTAGGTTGCTCAGGGGCCCATTCCCTTGTTAGATGCCTAATCCCTTTCCACCCAGAGCCTCCTCCCCGAGAGGACCTGTCCCCTGTGAGGGGGATCTGACACCCCGGCCCTGGGCCCCCCTCAGAGGAGCAGAGGACTGAGCCAGGCCGGCCAGCGGCCCGGCACTCAGACCCGGCACCCCCATGAGGGCCCGTGGCCTCCTTCGGGGTCACTGCTGACTCTCCCTGCTCTGCCGGGACGCCCACACCCAGGACCGGGTGATGAACAGAATCGGCGGGCCCTGGAGCCGTGGAGTTTCTCCACACAGACGTATTTATTTCCTTCCGAATGAAGCGAAAATATAGACAGCTTTCTGAGCCCTTGGGGGGAGTGTTGTGTGTGTGTGTGTGTGTGTGTGTGTGTTTAGCAGAAATCTTAATAAGCCTAGAGGCTTCCTTTTGAAAATGACTTTGGCTGTTTTGCCATACTGGGTGAGGGTCGGTGGCCACTGAGAGATCAGGGCCCGGAGCTCTGGGGAAAGCCCCTGTGTTCCCAGGGCCTTTGGGGGCGAGCACAGCAGGATGGTCCGGCCCCAGGTAAATATCTGTCATCACGGCCGCCGGGCAGCGTGGGCCCTTCCCGAGGGAAACCCCTCAGCCCAGAGCTGCCGGAGCCGGAGCGGCTCAGGAGGGAGCGGGGCCGAGAGCAGGGGCACAAGCTGGCTCACCCCGCACGCCAAGACTGGGTGTGCCCGGTCCCCACTCCATTCCACACCGCCCACCGCCCCGGCCGCTGCCCCAGGAGCCGTTCCTGTACCGTGTGGGTGTGAATGAGCTCGCACAACCCCTCTAAGCAGTTAATCAGGAAGAATCACGGTGCTCCCTGTAATGAGGAGGAGAAATGGGAGCCGGTGAGACCGAGGAAAGGAGCGGCGAAGGCATTCTTCCAGAGCCTTCCGAAGCCCTCGGCTTTAACCTCAGAAACCAAAGGGAGATCAGAATGCTGAATCTCCCTTAAAATAGGGGAGAATCGCCCCAACTTCTTATGGGGGCCCCCCGCATGTGCTCCCCTTCTCCCAGGGCGCCCCTCCCCAGCTTAGGGTCAGAGCGATGAGTTGCTGACCATTGAGGAACCCCGGCCTTGGCTAGGCAGTCACCCCTACGCCCAGGCCTACCCACAGAGCTGCTGGACGGCGAGGGCGACACTGCCATCTGCTCAGGCCCCGCTGGCCGCACGGAGTCCGAGGGCACCGCGCAGCTTCCCGGGAGCAGAGGCCTGGGTGCTGAGGGAAGATTCTCTCCCTGAGAAAGAAACCGGTCCGCCCGCCGTCGGGCTTGGCAGCTGCTGTCGCTGCGGCAGGGCGTCCGGTTCCACTCCAGAGCCTTCCCCGCGATGCCCGGACGGAGGGATCGGAGACCAATGGGCTGTGACGGCCACGCCAGCCTCATTAGCGCGGCCTCCGTGCCAGCTGGAGCGGGAGCAGCGGGGCCGGGGCCGGCAGCCGAGGGCGGCCCCGTGCGGAGGGTGGGTATTTTGCCCACTTCCTGATCCTTCCCGAGCCAGAAGGAGAGCCACACAGGAGACAGATGCCCTCGGGCAGGCAAGCCCCTTCTTGCCCGTTTGGTCTGCGCTCCCTCGTCGGCTGTGGAGAGCTGCTCCTTCCATAGCTTTGTTTTCCTTCGTCAGGTCGGATTTTTTAAATAATATTCCCTTTACTGAATAATATTCCCTTTACTGAATAATATTCCCCTTACTGAATAATATTCCCCTTACTAAATAATATTCCCCTTACTGAATAATATTCCCCTTACTAAATAATATCCCCCTTACTAAATAATATCCCTCTTACTAAATAATATTCCCCTTACTAAATAATATTCCCCTAACTAAATAATATTCCCCTTACTAAATAATAGTCCCTTTACTAAATAACATTCCCTTTACTGTGCTCATCGACGATGAAATCTCCCACATTAGCAGGCGTGTTAGTTTTAAATTCAACAAAAGCCTACCTCGTCCACGGTGCTGGTTGATCCCTAGGTGCTGCACTCTATCTAAACGAAGATCATTTTCCTGGGTTTAATATTCTCTTCCTTCCCCTTGTGAAAAAACACACCCCTCCCGGACCACTGGAAGGCCACGGATGCGATCTGAAGGCCCAGTTGTCTTGGATTCCTGCTGCCTTTTTTAAAACCTGAGGGGCTGGAGTTAAGCTCCTCATTTTTATGCCTCCAGTCCCAACCTCGGCCATCTTTTCTCAGCGGCTGCCATGGCCCCGTGGCTCTATGTGTGCTGCTTGGCCGGCCTCCTGAAGCCGCAGGGCCCGCCAAGGGCGGTGCGGCTGGGAGCGAGGCCAGGGGAGCACTGTGCGGGAGCAAGGGCGGTGCGGCCGGGAGCGAGGCCAGGGGAGCACTGTGCGGGAGCAAGGGCGGTGCGGCCGGGAGCGAGGCCAGGGGAGCACTGTGCGGGAGCGCTATGCGGGAGCACTGTGCTGGGAGCACTGTGCAGGAGCGGGCGGAGGAAGGAGGCCTGCAGGAGGCTCTGGGAGCCAGAAAGCAGTTGATTCTTTTCCCCTCCTCACAGAGCCTGCCCCAAGCCTCGGCGGCCCGGCTGGAAGGCCATGTGGGGGACCCCGCCCCCCGTGGGTTCACTGAATGTTGAATTAAAATCAGGAAGCCGGGCCCCCACGGGGAGAGGGAATGAGAAAGTAGAAACGTGTGTCCCAGGCGGCACGTCCACGCTGGGAGCTGATGTTACACCGGGAACTGAGAACAGCGAGAAAGGAAAGAACAAAACCAAGTGGAACAATGTTGGAGAGACTGAAGTTTTTAAGAGCAGAACAAAGCAGGCACACGTCGTGGGCGTCAGAAACAGAGCAGCAAGAACTAAATAACCAATCGCGGAGATGGGTTTCGGCGATGTTTTTGGAAACAAAAGGGAATTGTCCTATGACTGCTCTTAATTAACCCGCAACACACACACTTCTAATGGGAGCTAAATGCCTAATTAGAGGGTGCCTGGGGATCAGGTGCTGTGTTTTCAAACCTCCCGTGTAGACAGCATGTCCCCCAATGGGGTGGGAAGGATGGGAAAGAGAGATAAAGGGCCAGGCCTCCGGGGCCTGTGCCAGGGGCTCAGCGGGCGAGGACAGGGCCTCCCTCCCTCGGGAGGGCCGCTGCCTGGCCATCACGCTCCCGGGGACCGGGAGCCGGGGCACCTGAGGAACAAGCACTGGGGACACGACCGAGCAGGCCCCGAAGGGGGTGTGGAGCGGCGCAGCTTTGCTGTGGGGAGAGAGAGCCGACGGCCACCTTCTCCACAGAGCCGAGAGGAGGCTGAGCATGTAGGATCGGCCCCAGATGACACGGCGATTCTCAGTGAAAATTGGGAGGCGGGGACTGGAGAAGAGGGGGCACTACAGAAGGCTTTACAGTCAGGACTAACACACGAAGACAAACTGTGTCTGTAACTGAGATGGACACCACAGATCCTGCTGGGGGGACGGGAGGGTGGGGAGAGAGAGAGAGAATGAACACCCAGAATGACAAGAAAGGGAAATCCGGGCATGTGGGTGTGAAATTCTGTGGCCACATGAATAAACAGCAGCAGCGGCAGTGGCAGTGCAGCTGACGGCCAGTGTCCAGGCCAAGAAGCGTCCAGCGATGACCGAGACACGGTCACTCCTCCACGGGCCCTGCCCTGCCCTCCAGGGGGCATTTTACGTTGCAGTGACTGCTTTCGTATTACCTGATATCCAAACTAGGTACCTGGCAGCTTTCTTCCATCGCCCGATAGGAAATCCATTTCTGGCCAATGGCAGGAAAGGGATTCCTCCCGGGGTCTGCCGCTGGGAGACGCTCAGGCACCTGTTCGCACGGGGTGGACACGCCCCGGGGACTCCCGGACGCCCGCCCGAGACCGTCCCCCTCCCAGGTCACAGGGCGGCCTCTCCCTCGGGGGCTGAGGTTTGGAGTCAGCGATAGCAAAGGGCACATTTCTGGGGTCCGCCTGGTGGAAACCAAGAGAGGAGACGTGAGCAGGGGTTTCAGAGGCGCCTGCTGAGGGCAGTTCGGTCAGTCAGGAATCCTCGGTGATTCAGTCGTGAGGGTCAGACGGAACGTTAGCGGGAATGAGGTTAGACGAGGGTCAAGTTGGCCCACGCAGGCCGGTCTTCGGAGGCCTGAGCAAATGGGAGGAGGACAGGTTAGGTGTAAACTCCCAGAAACAAGACGTGCTGGTTCTCAGACATGAAGAGTGGAGAGGGCTGAGTGTCCAGAGGAAGCCATGGCTTGGCCAGAGCCAGGCCGAGCGACGGGACCCCGCCCCGCCCTTCCTCAGGCCCCGGGGGTTTCTGCGTAGCCAGGCGTACTGGGTCCCGAAGCAGATCTTCCCATCGCTCGCTTCTCTGTCGTTCTGCTCAGTGTAGGGTGGCTATCCGTGTGTACACGAGCACGGGCCACGTGACACATATGCGTGTGCTGACAGTTGCCCCGTGTGTGGCCTCACAGCGGACGACACTCCTGACGTGTGCCTTTGCCCCGGCTGGCGTGTAGGTGGTGGCGCTGGGGGACGTCCCGGACGGGACGCTGGTCACGGTGATGGCGGGCAACGATGAGAACTACTCGGCCGAGCTGCGGAACGCCACGGCGGCCATGAAGAACCAGGTGGCCCGGTTCAACGACCTGCGGTTCGTCGGCCGCAGCGGACGAGGTAGGTCGCCGAATAGCACACGACGGCCGCCGCCTGCCCCAGTCCCACACCTCCAGGCACGGCGGCGGCGGCGGGGGCCCCGGAAGCACAGGCTTCCTGGTTGTCATTGCTACACCGAGCCTTCAAGAACATTTATTGAGAATTTATCGCTTTTAGCGGAATCCGGTGTTACGTCGTTGCTCTCTGACGGGCAGCGGGGAGAACGCGGGTGTTGGATTTCGAGGAAACCCCTCAGCTCTTGGTTAAAGTGTAAACATAAGACCGGGGTGATTCAGCGGGTCTGTCTTGGGTAATGGTCAGAAGTCTCCGTAGCAGAGCCCTCACCGTGGGGCCCGGGTGTCCCCGTGGCAGGTGGCAGGGTCTCCGTGGCTGCTTCTGATCATTGTAAGGAGGCGGAGTGCGTGATGATTGGAACTCGGTTTCCAGGAAGCTTAGCTTTTGGTGGTAAAATGTGGAGACATGGTGGTTGGTAAACGTGGCCGGGTATGACCTTCCTATGACAGGGCGTGTGGATGCCGTGCTGTCGTTTGCAGGGCCAGGCCCAGCTCACATGTTGGGGACTGACCGTAGGAAAGACGGGGGAACCAGGGGGACGGTGGGGCTGGGGCAGTTCTGCGTGTGGTGTGACTGTTGCTGCCCACTCTCAGAGCAATCTCTTCTGCTTTCAAATTGTTTTCAAGTATTGTGTTTTCTCTATAGTGTGAGAACCTACGTCACACTTATAAATAGCAGTAAGTCCTGGGAGTTTAATTGAAAGAGGCAGGATAGTTGGTTTTGTAAACCTAATTTTTATAATAGAGAAAAGTGGGGAAAATATCCTTGTGAGTATCATTGCAATCTCTTCTGCTTTCAATTTGTTTTCAAGTATTGTGTTTTCTCTATAATGTAAGAACCCACGTCACACTTATAAATAGCAGTAAGTACTGGGAGTTTAATTGAAAGAGGTGGGATAGTTTGTTTTGAAAACCTAATTTTTATAATAGAGAAAAGTGGGGAAAATATCCTTGTGAGTATCGTTAAGAAGACACGGTGAATACCCCAATAACAGTAGGTGACGGTTGTGTTTAAAAAAAAAAAAAAAATGAAGGCACACCGATGGACTTTTACACAAGTGTCGTCATTGCTCTTTGTGAAGGCATTGCAACATGGAAGGAAATCTGTGTTCTGAGGGGTTTTGATTAGTTGGAGACGGGAAGATGGTGAAGGGAGGGAGGGGTGTTGGGCTATTTTTTTTTTCTATCCTAGCTGCCCAGAGCATTTTCAAAATAGAGTCATCGTGGGGGTGATTTGAAAAGCACACGATGATTGAACACCGGTGCCGTGGCCCTCGCCGGGGTAACGACGGGACAACGCAGAGACAATGATGCCACTTCTTGGCAGCGGGAGGGATGCTGTTGGGTACACAGCGTAGGCCATTAAGTGGGTTCGCTGGTCCCATTAAGGTCCCCGCCTGCTGTAAATGGGACCCGCGTTATGATTCAGGGGTGTGTGTTTGGGGAACAGCTCGCAGGCTTCGGGGGAGTAGCTGGCAGGGCGGGGGCGAAGCCCATAAAAACCGAGGCCCGCCCTCCGGTTCGAGCCGCCCGGCCCCCCCGTGGGTTTCCACGCCGCGGACCCGTAGCTGAGCGCACCCTCGGCCGCCCTTCGGAGCCGGGGATCCTCCGCGCGGGCCCGCGGGCCGGCCTCTGCTTATCAAAGTCGTGGAAACGGCTCCGTGGCCAAGGCCAGCGACATTCCCCACAGGGAGCTCCGCCGTGGCTCCGTGGCCGCGCACAGGCCGTGGACAGGGGGAGAGGACGGGGCCTGGGGCGCAGTCCGCTTCCTCTCCGCGCTCCGGCCGTTTCTGGTTGGAGTGGGTGACTAATCGGAGCGGTGTTTACTCGGCAGCAGGGCTGTTTCCCCAAGGCGTGGACTGTTTGCACTGGGCGCCCGCTCTGTGCCAGCGCGCCCTTGACTGTGCATGGAGGCCGGGTAACGCGGCGACCGCCGGGCTGGCCGGCCTCCGGTCCCGGGAAGGAGACGTGTCTGCTCCGCACCGTCTGCCTCCGGAGCGATAGTCAGGAGCCCGGAGCCCAGCAGGCCTGAGGGGCCGTCTGGCCGGGACCGTCACCCTGTGCCGTTGGTCTTGAGCAATTTTTTTTTTTTTTTTTGGTCAGCGCTACCAGGCAGAATTGAGCTCTCAGAGGCCCTGTCTGTCCCAGATTCCCCTCCCTCACCGTAAAACACAACTTGATTTCATTCTTTCAAGTGTGCGTGCCGGCTCGGCATCTGCCAGGTTTTTTTCTTCTCTTTTTTTTTTTTTAATTTGCTTCCCATTACGAAGAGAGCAGACGATTCCCACTCGTTTGGACGATTAGCCTCGTCTTCCACACGGAGCCGTGCCCTTTAAGAGTCTCATGACGTTTGGTTTCTGTGAGTGATCCCGAGATGATTTCTCTGTTTTTCCGAATGTGCCCATAAACATGTCACTGGCAGCGACACGCCCCGCGGAGCCGGCGGCCTGGCTGCTGGCTCCCCCGCACGTTTCCGCGCGGTTTCACCCTCCGTCGCCGCCCGTCCGCAGCGGCTCCCGGGCTTGAGGCTCAGCGCCCAGCGGAGGGGGGGGAGAGGGCGGGGACCCCTTTTCCTTCACCGGCTGCTGTCCCGTCCCAGCCGGGGGCTGGCGGAGCCTCGGAGAAGCTGCCAGAGGCTGAACATGGAGGGTTTTTCTTTGTTGTTATTCTGTTCTGCAAAACTGATCTGTCTGGGCGCTGGCAGAGGTCCAGGTGCGCAGCTCAAACCTCAAGTTCAACTGCAACCGGGAGAACCTGCCCGTCCGGCTCCCATGGCCGGCCTGGCTGACAACACTGCCCGCACGTCCAGGGCAAGGGCCTCGGCGCCCGACCTTCCTCCTTCCCGCCCGCCCGCCCGCCGCCCTGGCTCCCGTCAGCTGCCCGTCTTGTCCGGGGTGTGTGTGTGTGGGGGGGGCGCTGGGTGTGCTCACTCTCCCGCGGCGTCCCCGCGGAGGGGACGGCTCCCTCTGAGGCCAGGGCGGCAGCTCCAGGAGCTGAGAGGGGGTGCTGAGCACACAGGGTGCTGCTCAGAGCCCTCGCCCACCGTCCTGGGACCCCCCCCCCCCGCCCCCGGTCCCCGACCTTGGGTGTGGGGGCCAGAGGACTCTGGTGGCCACGCCCATTGGCGGTTCACAGCAGCAGCTGAGGCAGGCGGTGTGAGCGAGGGCAGCGGCTAGCCGACAGGTCAGCCGTGAGGCCGGGGAAGGCTCCGGCCCGGCCCGGCCCTCACCCCTCACGCCGGGGACCGGCTCTGGTTCATTCACTCAGAACCCAGCCAGGCCGCCAGGCCACCAGGCTGTGCCATGAGCTGCGGGAGCCAGGGAAAAGGGCCCCACAGCCTCCTGACTCCCCGGGCCTGTGGGACACCCCAGAGAACTGGGTACCCCCCGGAAGTCCCCACTGGGGAGAAACACGGGCGTGGTCCTGACATGGCGTCTCTGCGCAGTCAGTTCCCGGGGCTCCCATGCTGATGGAGCTTCCGGGGACCCTGAGCCCCCCAAGCCGAGCGCCTGTGGGTTCAGAAGGTGGCCGTGGCCGTGGCCGTGGCCCTGGGGGCCAGCCCCGGGCGTCCGTGCTGCCTGTAGACAGTGGGCTGTGCCCCGTCCTGAGCGAGAGGCACAGCCTCGGATACCGGGCGTCCGGCCTGGCGTGGTGGAGAGACCTGCTCGGCTGCTGCCCACGCTGAGCCTCCGAGTGCGGCCGTGGCCTCGCAGGGGAGGGCCATTGTGCCCGAGAGGGTGCCCCTCACACAGCTCCGGGTGGGCCCAGCGTCGCCTCTGGGTGCCCAGCAGCCCGAAGGCCGCATGCCTGCGCCCAGGGACGGGCTCGGGGGTGCCTGGGGGCCTGCTGACCTCCCGGCCACCCTCCTCTCCCGCCTCTCCCCCAGTCCCTCCCCACGCCCTAACACACATCCCTCCCCGTTCCCAATGGGACTCTTCCCAGACACAACACGCCCGCCACCGTCGCCGGAGCATGTGGGGGATGTTTCTGACTCAGAGGCTGTCTCACACGTTGGGGGCCGGGGCCGGGGCGGGGGGCTGCCTGCCGTGAGGCAGAGGCGGAGCGGAGAGGAAGGGGTGCGCTCAGCACAGGGGTGCTTGTGGCTGAGAAAGGGCTGGAATCCCCGAGGGCTGATGGCGGAGTCCCTCTCTCCACGGGGACTCCGCGGCGGGCAGCCCGATGGCGGTGAGGGTGGCACCGGAGATGGGGAGATGGGAGAGGCCGTCAGCTCCCCTGGAACCCAGGACCGGCCTGAGCCATAATAAATCAGCTCCCTGTACTCCCTCCTGCCCCCCATTTTGATTGTGGTCGGTGTGCCCTTTAAAATGCCATGCGGACACCGATGCCTGTTTTGGGACGTCCGTGTGGCAGAGGATGGAAAGACCTGGGGTCCCCACATCGCAGGCCACCGGCAGGGGAAGGCTGAGCTCCCGGACAGAGTGCATCACTCAGACTAGGTTTCTCCCTCTGCTTTCCGTTTCCCAGGAAAATAGTAACAACACTTTCTTAACCTCGGTTGGTCCCATCCCCACCCCCTCCAGGGGCGCCCCTGGCCCCGGAAGCCCTGGCAGAGGGGGCAGAGGGCAGCTGGCAACCTGCTGGTGCCTGACTCCAGGCCACAGGCTCCCCTCCCTTCACGGTGCCCCGCTGACTTTACGGGGTTCGGGATCACAGAGGCTGGGGACAGCTCCCGGACCCGGAGGTCACGTGGGTGACAGTGGGCAGAAGCCGGACTTTCCCCGCCCGCCTCCCTCCCTCCCTCGCCCCGGGCTGGCGGTGGCCGAACCAGGGAGACTCGGTCGGAGCCGGGAGGGGAGGAGGCCAGTGAGTTCAGCGCTTCCTGTGTCGGCCGTGCGGGCGAGCATCACAGACATAAACAGCGGCCCGGCCAGCGCCCGGCGGCTCCCATAAATCAGCCCGGGCCCCTCGGTGCCGCCTGGCGCGGGC